GCCCGGGGATTGCACCTCCGCGACGGGTCGGTGCGAGCAGGGACCTGTGGCGGGCTCCCGCTCCCTCCCAGGGGCTGCTCTGTGCGTGGAAGCGGCTATGGGCTGATGGCAGGAATTTGGGGACCACCCCAACAGACCCCACTATCTAGAAGGGGTGGTGGGCTCCCAGCAGTGGTGGTTTCCCAGGCACAGCACAATTCCAGCCTGGTCCCAGGGTTTGCAAACCCACCGCCATCCAGCTACGCACCAGCCAAAAGGCCTTTTCCTCCATCCCTGCTGCCCACCCCGCTCCAAACCACCCCACACACCCCCGGCCACCAAGGGTGGCCCATCCGGGCTGGTGTGGCACAGGATCTGCCCAGGAGGGTGGGGGGCTTCATTTATTTGAACCAAACCCACTTGTTCTCAGGGGTGAAAGGGGCTGGCGCAGGTCTCTGGGGCCCTGGAAGCACAAGCACCAGCTCCGAGCAGGCTGTATCCAGCTCGCAGCCATCCCTAGATGCGCTGGGACAGATAAGGTCCTTCTCAGCTGGTAGCTCTGCTTGTAAAGTCACATCCATAATTAATTTTCCCAGCAAATTGTACCCCTGTATGTCTACCGGAGCAATGGCGCAGCGATTTGATGCCAAGATTAGATACAGGCATTATTGGGAGCTGCATATTTAACGATGCAAAGTAGGAGGTGATATATTCAAGGCAGGAGACACCTGCTCAAGGACCTTTGGGACTCCCATCCCGGAAAAAAAACCTCGACGTGTGTCATCTCAGCTCTCCACTGGCTTCTTCCTAATCTCGGTTGGGAGGAAGCAAACCCGTTCCCAGCCGAGATGCTCCGGTGTCGTTGATGCAACATCCCAGGAGGGTGGGAATCCCTCCCCGACCCTGCAGGCAAACAGCTCACCTCTGAATCATGGGCTTTCATTACTCTCCAGTGCCTGGCAGATGTCACAACCACATCCAGGCCCTTATTTTTACAAGGCATCCAGGGCGTGTGCGTGCTCAGAGCAGCCACGTCCCGTCCAAACCCATCACAAGACAGTTCCCAGCCACTCTGATCATCCCGATGAGGTTGGCCTCTCCCCTACTCCCCACCAGCTCTGGGTCCGAAGGGTCGGGAGCAGTTTGGCTTCTCATTAACAGGGCCCCAAAGGACCCTCTGCAGAAGTGGGATATTGAGTCCTGGTTTTGGGGGTCTTTGGTGACCGTGGTGATGGGTACCCAGGAGCCACAGCTCCTGCAGATATTTATCCGGCATGGATAAATGCATTTCTTGGCATTTCCACCGGCACGGTGCCGTGGTCACTGACTCACCGAGGGTCACCGACCGCCTTGACACGGGCTGAGCTGCTCCTGCCACCTCCGAGGGTTTTCCAGATACAACAGATACTTATCGAGGATGGCTCACGCCGCAGGAATTGCCATCCTCCCGACAGCGCACTGTCACGCCAGGGAGCCAGTCGCCAATCCAGAAATAGGACCCAGGATTCCCCACTCCCACAGCACATTCCCAGCCTGGTGCTGGGAAGATGATCCAGGAGACCTGGCTCCCCTTTCCCCCCCACATCACCCCAACCATTTGACACATTTCCTGTCTCTAATTAAATGCACACCACACCTTTCTGCTTAATTTCCATGTATTTATTTCCAAGGCAAGAACAATAAATAGTCATTCTCGTTGTGAAATCCTCCCCAAGGTGAGAGGAGACAGAGGGTGGCCTGTGGCCGAGCCGTGGTGTCGGTGGTGCCGCGCCGGCGGTGCTGCCGCGCCGGCCGCCGGCCCGGGAGGACCTGCCACCCTGTCCCAACCTCAGGTTTCATCACATTTCTCTGGGGTTTGGTTTGGTTCATCTTTCTTTCCCCCCCCTCATAGCACAGAGCCTTGCAAGGTGATGCCGGTCCTGCTGAGGTGCCTGCGCCCTCTCCCTTCCTGAGGTCCCCCCAACCACATCGTGCCTCTGGGGCTCCCCATGGGCTCCCCCAGGACACGGAGCTTAGTGGGAATGGCCTGGATGGCAGAAGAAAGGTGGGATAACCGGGCTCGGCAGGTGCCCTGCACCCCCTCAAGCCCATTTCTTCACCCTCCCTGCGCTCGGTGCCTGAGCTGATTGCTCCATCCCAGTGAGCCACCACTTTGTGGGATTTACTGTTTTCTAATTTTCTGTAATTACACAGAAATCCCACTCTCTCCTGGCACAGGTGGGATCTTGCTGCTGGCCTCGCAGCTCCCAGGTCTTTCTGAGCCCAGGATTTTAGGGTTCTCCTCTGAGCTCCCTCATGGGCCACATGCCCAAAGCCCTCAGGTTGCCTGGTCATAGAATCACAGAATCACAGAATGGTTTGGGTTGGAAGGGACCTTAAAGATCATCTAGTTCCAACCCCCTGCCATGGGCAGGGACACC